ATTTTCCGAAAAAATGTGACGAAAAAGTGCACGAGAGCCAATCAAGATCAAGAATTAATACGTAGATCATTCTAGAACCCGATTTCCCGATTTGGTATATTCCCTGACTGTTATGACACCTATGACGAATATCAAGATAACTTAGTCTTCGTGTTTGGGCTGATGCATAGAAGTTGAAGCAAATTCGCGTGTTACGTGAGACAAATCAAACGTGGCTTTAGGGACCGCAAGAATAATAATTATTTAAATATGATACTTTACCAAATTTGAATTCTTATTCTGAAACCCTTTATTTAAAAATATTTTACTCATATATATACATATACAAATACAAATATAATTATAAGAGAACGTTTATTTTCTTTGTACTTATTACTTTTGAAAAATAATATGCGTTATTTTACTTTTGATATTGTCTCTTCTTTACCTGAAGAACTTAGTATTCAAATTTTGGGATTTCTTTCTGTCAAAAGCTTAATACAATGTCAACTTGTAGGTGAACTTTTTTTGAACATAAAGATCGTTTAAATTATATTTGATCTTAATAAAATCATTTTTAGGTATGCAAACGTTGGAGAAATTTTGCTAGTGATCCCATCATATGGAAAAGAAAATGCCTCGAATTAGCCTATCATGACATTAATCCGATAAAATCACCTTCCAATCCTGTCTTATGGTATTCTTTATATCGTAAACTTTTTAAACGCGAAAACAATTGGGAAAGTGGACGTGTTCAAACTGTTGATTATCTAAAAGGACATTCTAGCCGAATTTTTTTTGTAGCAATTAAGGATGGAATGGCTGTCAGTCTCGCTTGGGATAGAACTATGCGATTTTGGGATGTTGAGCGGGGTCTCTGCTTATCTGCTATATTATTAAACCATATGGCAGAAGAAGTAGATTTTTTGCCAAAGAAATGGGTAGTTGCTGTATCCTTTCGGATGGAGTAAGCTATTTCCTTTTTCTTTTCTTTTTTTTTTTCTTTCAATGAAATTTTATGATTGCATCTATCGATATATGGATTAAGCGGGAATTTTATAGGTTTGTTCACGTGTATAATCTTCGTGAAGGAAATTCCAAAGTGGTGCTCGCAAGTCCTAAACGAGTTCCACTTAATTGTGTGAATATAGGAGAAGAAATCTTAATTTCTGGTTCGGACGATGGGATAATTAACGTTTGGGACTGGCGTTCTACCAAATTGTTAACATATTTTGAGACTCGGGGTGGGGTGGGAATTTATTTGATATAATAATTTTTTTTTGCTCCAAAAATATAAACTATTTTGATATCAAAATTAATCTAATCAGGTTTATATCTATATATATATTTTTTTCTTTTTATAGGTACTTTATGTGAAAGTCGTTAATTCAAGTACTATAGTTTCACTTCATAACGATGGCATTATTCAAGTGTTTTCCGTGACACAAAACAAGGTTATAAAGCAATATTCGTTTCTTCCAATGGTTTTTGATGACATATTGCATAGTGCGGCCATTAACAGGGAATGGATTCTATGTGCCACCCAAGACTTTATTTATCTTTTAAAGTGGCAATTTGTACCGGATACATTGGAGATAGATGTAACAAAACCACCTACTTTCAATTGGAAAATGGATGCACCTGCTGTAGTTCCATGGTGCGGATGCCTTGCTGGTAAAGGTCGTTCTGTTTTAAGCAATTGTTCATCAACTGGGCCTATCTGCGTTGTGAAACCTGGTGGTAACGTCAAATTTTTAACTGAACCTGGTCAAGGTGTCGATTCTCTTAAGGGTTTTAAATTGTTAACTTTGACTGAACAACCTACCTTTATGGATGTTGACGATCGTTTTTTATTGATCGGAACAAAACAAGGAAAATTGATTCGTTGTGGATTTGATGATACACAATTACCTCTTGTAGAATAAATCTATAATTTTTTTTTTATTTTTATCATTAACACACAATTGTTTTTTAGCTTAAGATTATCTTAATAAATTATGTGTGTATTTTGCCATGTACGACGATGAAAATCTTATATAAACTATACAAATTTGACATTTCTAGTTAGAAAGAATATCAATTAAGGAGTTTATTTTTTATTAATCGGCTAGGCGTGTGAAACTACAAGATTAAAAAATTACTTAATCTATAGTATATTCACGTTTTTTTGCAGATAAAATTAACATATTTATATTAAAACGGTCTTAAATAAAGAATTGAAATAAGACGTGTTCATGACAAATGCAAAAAAATTTTGTAGATATTAACATTCTAGTTTTTCGTCAAACCTTTAAATTTTTGTAAATTAAAGCCACTTCTAAAAAAAGTCAATAACAAAAAATGAAACCTTCTGTTCGTTTTACTACTCCCTATGATGACGAAGACGAAGAAGAAACTCTGCCAGAAAGGGGTGACAATTCTCACATGAATTTCGGATCAACTTCAAGTTTTCGAAATGGTCGTAATAATGGTAAAACTAGTCATAACCCACAAAAACCATTTCAAGGTCAGATCTTTGTATTGTATGGCTACGATGAATCTGAAAAACAAAATCTAGAAAATATGATAAAAAGTCAGGGTGGTTCTGTGTCTCAAACGGTTAGCAATCGGGTAAGGTTCTAACTTATATTTGATTATTTTTTTTGAAGGAATGATGACCTTGGTTTAACATTATTTTTTATTGTATTATCTTTACATAAAATTTACTTATTGATTCTCATTTTTACTACAACGTTTTTTTTCATAGACAACATATTTTGTTATGAGAAGGTCAAAATACAATACTGAAGATATTGACGAAATGGTGCGTTTTAATAAAAGTATTCACACAGTTTCCGAAGATTTTATTTACGATTCGGCGAATAACGTACATCATTTACGTGATGCAGAAGAATTTGAAAATATTGGGTAAGTATGTCTGTTTCATCGTCGAATAAATAATTTATTGTGCTGTGATATTCAATTTATTTTTTTTGTTCTCCCCATTTTTATCAAGTCCCTTTCGTTCATTTTTTCTAATTAAAATTTTTTTTTTACATTTTAATGCTTCATTTACAGGAATTCAAGACGAAGACGACGACGAGGTCAAATGGGTGATCCAGATGAAGATGAAGATGAAGATGAAGATGAAGAAGAAATACGTCGACCTATTAATCAGAAATCAAATTCTTATAGTGGACCTGTAAATGAAAAATATTCTAGACGTCTTAGTTTCCATCAAAGTAATAGCTGGGGTCCGGATTCTACGAATGGTGACCATAGTCCTTATTTGTCAGATGAACGACCTAATGAATTAAATAACGAATTGGAAGAAATGTCATCCGATGATTCTGATTCATCAGAATACGGTGATAATGCATTCCTGGCGAACGTTGCTGTTGAAACTGAAACTCAAGATCATATGGATAATCCTATGTTAAGTCCGAATGCTTCACAATTATCTCATGATATGCAAAAGGAGAGAATGGAATGGCAAAGTTTTTTGGCTTCCGTGCTTACCGGTGAGGTCATTAAATCGGAGAAACGTCGTCTGTCTGGCTCTTCACGGCAGGCGTCTAACATTGCTTATCATCTATGGTTCCAAATAAACACGACATTACGTCGCTTGCCTAGTGATTTAAACGAAAGTCGTCGACAGATTGATAACATTCTTAAAGAAGTTATAGATTTTGAGGTTAAACCTGGTGATTTACCAGCTTTTGATCAAGTTGTTGAAATTCTACAAAAAGTTGATGTATGTGAAAGTCTTTATCCTTCGCGTAAAGCAATGATGGCAGATAAACCTTTATATGAATCACTAGAATTTCAAAATAATTTGGATGCTTTAAATTCTTGGCTTACTGTGACTAGAAGTTTTCAAACTCAATTAAAAATTTTGCAAAATTGGACCGGAAGTGACGATTTAGAAATTACCAGACCTAAGGATGCTCCAGCTGATGCTGAGAATCCATCTTTTCTTGAACGTATATTAAAAGAAAATAGTTTAAAACAGACATTTGAAAAACGAACACTCGCCACGTTAACTTCTCTTTTATTAAAAGCTAAACGTGTTATGATTGAAAATGCTGTAATATTTGAAAAAATGAAATTACCTCCTTATATTGATGAATTACCACAACTTTTAAATTTCCCTACAAAACTTATGAAAGAATGTATGAAACTTTTACTTGAATACGCTAATATTCTTAATGATCCTACAGCGATGATGGTACAACAGATGATGGATGATTTTCAAATTTCCCTTTCTTTGGCTTGTAAGATAAAACGTCAATATTTTGAGCTTGTTAAGCCTACAAATGGATGGATAATACCATCTTCTATTGACGAAAATTATGATACTGTGTTATTGGAATCATTAAAATTTTATTTCACGTTATTACAATTAAAAGTTAAACCTGGCTTTAAAACAGTTTTCTTTAAAGAAGCGGAAATTTTAGATTCTGAATGGGCTTTTTTGAGTGGAATTTGTCGCCACATTGCAGGTGGTGAGGCTGAGACTGCCGAACAATTTTGGTAAGTGGTCTCACTTGAAATATTATTGGTAAAAACATAAGTAGGATATGTTTTTGTTGGCTGGCATTATCTATTTTCTATACTCAAAGAATGATGTATTTTGGGAGTATTTTGAAATGATATGAAATTAGTGATTAAAATAATGCTGGTGTTGGTTTTTTTTTTTCAAATTAGAAATTTCCAATATCAAGAAAGTAAACGAAACATTTACCAATTTCTCATCATGTTTCAACCAATTTTATAGCATGCTTACGAACAAATTACTTCAAGGTATCACGAGTTATTTTGATTCCGAACTGGATCGTGTACCTAATGATACCGATTGCGCAAACAAATCGAAAATATATAATAAAATCCTGGATAGTGTACGATTGAGATCTCGAAAATTGATGCGTTTCACAAAGTATACATTCATACATTTCATAGCTCTGCGTCTAAATCATCAAATATTGATTATTTCTAAAAAAAATTTTTAAATGAAAACGATGAACTTGTATAGATCCCTTTTAGGTGAACTTGAAAATGCAGCAGAATATCATATAGATGATACGAATTATCCTTCTTTCATCGAAGGATTGGAACGTACTAATCATGTTCTTGTATATCCTGATACTTTTAATGATGATGGTGTATGTTTCATTGTTGAACCTTCTCTTAATGACCGTCCTGAGCAGATTCAAAAATTGCTCAAATCTGTTCTTACTTCTTATGATAAAAGACCTGATGATAAAAGATCCGATGATAAAAGACCACCTGATGATAAAAGGCCTGATGATAAAAAACCTGATGATAAAAGACCTGAAGAAGATATTGAGATAAAAGGTCTTGAATATGTGGTCATATTGTCACCCAGAGTTAGTTTTGAATGGAATGGTGTTGTCATGGCTGTGTCAATGGAGCAATTTAACCTTGACCTCAAACCTCATCATACCAGATTAGTGGCAGATGGGGCAGACCGATTACAGGCGTGTAAACAACGTTTTCGTAAATCGGTAGAGGATTGTTACATTAAAATGTTGACGGAATCACGACCAAATGATCCTGATGTTAATCATGAAGCATCAAAGCTTAAAAAGACAATTTTTAAATTAGTTAATAAAATAATTGATAGTGTTAACACAATACGTAATAGGACAAGAAATGGAGAATGTCAAGACTTAATTGAGAATTGTTTCAGTTTTGCTACTGAAGTTGGACAACGCGCACTTCGTTATATTCATCGTGATGCTTGGCGTGTCCAACTGAATGTCAAGTTGACACGAATGTCTATTGATTGGGTTAGTTTCATATGTGATGATTGTGTCCCTACTGATCGTAAAACCTTTCGATGGGCCGTGATCGCTTTAGAATTTGCTATGGCAACTAATCGTGGTAATAATATTTTGAATCTGACCGAATGCGAATTTGCCATGTTACGTAGTAAAGTCGGTATGTGTATGAGATTATTCATTTCTCACGTAGATATTATGGGAGCAAGACAATCATATGAAGCTCAAGAACAACAACGTCAAGGAACTATTGGAAGTAACGATATGGGACAATCAATTGTTCAACAAGTAAAGAAATATCGTGGACAAATACATAATGGAGAATGTGTTAATGCTACGCAAGAAGGATTGATAGCTGCTATACGTCAATTAGAATTCAAGCGTGCACAAAAAGAACAAGAACAACGACTTGTAGGCAAAGTTCTTGAAGAAGATCAACAAAATCGACCACTTGTTTTCTTGGCATCATCTAGTTCTAATATTTCACTTCGTTGGCAACAAGGAAAATTTATTGGTGGAGGTACTTTTGGATCAGTTTACCTGGCAGTAAACTTGGATACTGGTGATCTTATGGCTGTTAAGGAGATTCGATTTCATGATCCTTCTTCACTTACCAAACTTTACAAACAAGTTAAAGATGAAATGTCAGTTATGGAAATGCTTGATCATCCAAATATTGTATCGTATTATGGTATTGAGGTGCATAGAGATAGAGTGTACATATTTATGGAATACTGCTCAGGTGGATCTTTAGCATCTCAACTCGAACATGGACGTATTGAAAATGAGAAAGTAGTACAATTTTATGCATATCAAATGTTGCAAGGGTTAATCTATTTACATGAACATAACATAGTACATAGAGACATAAAACCGGATAGTAAGTTTTATTTTCAATTTTTTTTTATTTAAATATTTCTTTTTAGTATTGTCATTTAAGATTTTATTTATTTGATATTTTTTTATTTTTTTTAGATATATTGTTAGACCATATGGGAACTATTAAATTTGTTGACTTTGGGGCCGCAAAGATTCTCGCAAAGAATCAAAGGACAATGGGACGCACAACTACGGGTCCAGGAACGAATGTCAATAGTTTAACTGGTACACCTATGTATATGGTTAGTCTCTTGTGTAATATTTCATATATTTCTAGATAATATGTTTGCATGTGAGTAATATGTTAATTGATTATCTTGTTCATTCATATAGGCACCGGAAGTTATAACTGGTGGAGAAAAAGGTCGTAAAGGATCAATGGATATATGGTCGTTAGGTTGTTGCGTTTTAGAAATGGCGACAGGACGACGTCCATGGTCAAATTTAGATAATGAATGGGCTGTAATGTACCATGTAGTAACAGGTCATCCACCGTTACCTGATTCTTCTCAATTATCAGATTTGGGAATTGACTTTCTTAGACAGTGTTTCACAAGATCGCCACAAGACCGTCCTCCAGCCGAAGAATTACTTCAACATCCTTGGATGGCTCTCGGTTAGTTTCGGGAATGGCGATCAGGGATTTTACCAAAATAGACAGTGCCGATCGCACTTTTTATGATATAGAAATGTCGATCAAATAATTTAGACATTTCAGTTGTACAAAATCACATGTGATCGGCGAATTTTTATTAAATTTTATTATATATATAAATAATATATTTATATATTAACATATAAACGAAAATTCATTAATAAAAAGTCATTCAATTCTATCATGTCTCATCAACTACTACTGCAGTACTGATCAAAATCGAAACGATCCTTGCACTATTTAGTCATTTCAATGAGATGAACTGACTGGTATTAAAATAGGATTGGATATGGGTGTGATTTCGTATTATCACACGAAAACGAAATGTTATATGAAATACGTAGCTAGAAACATGTGACATTAGAAGAGAGATACGTATTATTATTTATATACGTACTTACAAAAATAAAGTTACATTAGTAAAGTTTAATAAAGATCTTCCTAATAATTTGCTAATTTTTTTAATACGTATTATACTAAACTTGATAACTTTTAAATTAATAAACAATATCGATATGTTTCGGTATAAATTTTATAATTTTAATACATTATATTAATATATATTTATTTAAAATACAATCAACTTTCTCTAAGTACATGTTTTCTAAGTGCTATACTTTATAAAATTCACTAAATGCAAGGCCTCTTTGGTCCCAAGTATACAGAGCAATATAGAATTTGCTTCCTCTAAACGCAACTTCTCTCTAAATGCAATATTTTTATTTTATTTTATATTAATTTTTTTATGCCCCAGCAATTTTGCATTTAGAGATGCATTTAGAAAGAGTAGACTGTACAACACAATTTAAAACATATATAAGTTATAAAGTAAAAATAGGTGTGTTGATAAATTACATTCATGTTTTTGGCCAATTAAAAACATCAAATTGACATATCAAATTGAAGTTATCACTGAGAATGATAACGTACAGTTTGAATTTGGATTCAATAGAAAACGTGAATAGCACATATATATACTTCAGGAAAATCAGTAAATCAGTATATTATCGGTTAGTCATCAGGGGCGAATATTTTCTTTTTCTCCCTCAAAGTTGTTCTTTGACCATATATTGTCTAATTCACCATATACGTAGATTTCCAAATTTTAAGTTGGCGTAAAGGCGCTTTGCTACATTAAACTATCACCTATTGTCATACCAATACTAATGCTAATATTTGTTCACGCAAATTCTGATCAGGACGATGTCCAAATAATTTTTTTGACCATTAGACATTGGACAATTTTTAAAAAATTATAATTGTTCACTAATTTTATTGGTCAGAGATTTTTCTTTGTACTATACATACTCCTAATAATGATATGAATATTTTATAATGGATGTCAAAATGTTAGGGAGGTTCAGAATTAACATGCGGGAATCTAATTTGGACAGAAATAGATAAAGTATTCATTTTCAAATGAGCGATACTTTATTGCATTTTCCGATAAATTTGACATGATAACCTTTGACGTTGAAAAGTTTACTGATTCGTTAAATGGGAATATCTAAACACTCATTTCATTTTCTGGTTTCAAAATTTTGATACACAAATAAAATTTTATAAACTCCCACTTATTTCTGAAATACGCTTTATTTTTTTTATTTCGAAGCCCCTATTAGTATAATCACACTAAGTACGTTCCCTATACAGATATCGAATGCAATGTCTGGCAGAAACAGCCAATGAAATGCCTGAATTGCTTGATTTCTGGTTGTAATTAATGTCCAATAAAAATTTACACGAAATTCTATTTTGACCCGTGTTAACTGTTAACACCCAAACTATTACTAATACTATTAATAACGTTAAATTTTATCACGTGAGCAAATTTTGTAGCCTATTGGGTAACACCTAGTGGAAATAGAATTATTTGGACAAATTGGACATTGTCCAAATGCTCAACTGTCCAAATTGTCCAAGTGTCCAATATTATTATGTAACATCTCTGATTCTGATTATCGATACGCATAATTGTTGCAAAATTCTGGACACTCTTCTGATCATTAATTATGCGATTTAGAATACTTCTCAGATAGTAAAATACCACATTAAAAAAAAATCTTCTTAACACTATTATTTTGTCATTAATTAGTCATTACATTGTTATAAAAGTTAGATGCTACTTTAAATCTTATAAATTACATTAAAGTGAG